GGCTTTTTTACAGATTTCTACAAGAATGACACCTTTGTGAAAGCCTTTTAACTCCACTTTTTTGGTTATGATCCCTAGAAAAGCTCATGCCAAAAACATCAAGGACTTTCGCCCCTAAGTTTTGTTGGTTGTTTATAAACTACTGTCCAAAGTTTTAGGTAACAGGCTATTTAAAGTCCTCAACTTGATTATTGGTGAAAGTTAGCAAGCTTTTGTGCATGGTACCAGATCACTGACGCCATATTAACCACTTATGAAGTTGTGGATGACGTTTTCAGAAATAAGAAAAGCGGAATGCTATGTAAATTGGACATGAAGAAGGCTTTTGGTAATATTTCATGGAGCTTTATTGACTATATATTTAAACGGATGGATTTTAGTCAAAAATAGAGAAAATGGATTGGCACTTGCATATCTCTACTAGTTTCGCTGTTATGGTAAGCGGTGGTCTGTCTTCCTTTTTCAATGCTTCTAGAGGATTGAGATAAGGTTACCCTCTATCTCCCATACTACGAGAGAGCCAAAGACTTGAGGATGCTTAGGGGAATTGCGGTTGGCAACTTCGGTCAACAAATTGAAATTTCCCACTTATTTTTTCTGATGACACATTGTTATTTTGTCAGCCGGACATCAACTCTCTTTTCATGGTCAGATGTATCCTTCTTTGTTTTCAATTGGTATTCATTCTAAAAATCAACTCGTGTAAATCTGAACTTGTTGAGATCGACACTTGGAAATGGACAAAATCTTGCTCGGGTTCTTAGCTGTAATGTTGCTAAACTTCCTATAAAATATCTGGGTATCCCTTTTGGAGCCAAATTTAAAGAGAAAAATTGCTGGGAGCCAATCATTAACATGTTTGAAAATCGCTTGGCAAGCTGGAAAAGGAAATACATTTCAATAGGGGGCAGATTGACCTTAATCAAATCCACTTTCTCTAACTTCCCGATCTATTATTTATCAATGCTTCACATCCCTGCAAAAGTGGCCAAGAAACTCAAGTCTCTTCAATGTCACTTTCTCTGGGGAGACCACAAATTCCATCTTGTCAAATGGGATGAGATCAAGCAACCGGTTGCTCAGGGGAGCATAAGCATTAGATCTCTAACCAAGCTGAACAGGGCTCTTCTTAGTAAATGGATTTGGAGATTTTGGAATGGAAACAATTGCTTATGGAAAAATGTCATCATGTGTAAAAAGTATGGTACTAACCCTCACAACTCCACTTTTTTGGATAGAAGTCCATATGGTTTGAGCTATTGGAAGAGCATTATGTTGATGAAGAATGCAGTTTTGAACTGCTCCAATTGGAAGGATGGGAAAGGAAACAAAATCAGATTCTGAAAAGATACTTGGTGTGCCAATGAGTCTTTCTAGCACTGTTTCCCCACATTTTTGCCATTTCAAAGGATAAAGATATCCTCATCGAGGAGGTCCATAGTTTCAATGTTGAGAGACTGGAAATATACTCAAAAGCTTGAAGAACGGTAAAAGTATTTCTAATGGATTTATTATCATGCTGTAAAAACATGACTGTTATCTGCAAACTGAAGATGACACACCTTTATCATGTCCATGCCTACCATTAATCCTCTTACTTTGTTTCTCTCCATTGTGTTGGTTAACATATGAGTAAGTATGTCCACCACTAATGTGAATAAGAAGGAATAGTGAATCTCCTTGCCTTAATCCCCTCGAGACTTGGAATCATTGATGAGGTTTTCTATTAACAACAATTGCACAAGACACAGACTGCAAACACCCTCCTATTGACTTCTACCATATTTCTCCAAAACTGTTCACCTCTGTCATTTTCTCCAAAAACTCCCAATTGACTTTGCCATATGCCTTTCCAAAGTCTAACTTGAGCACCAAGCTTTTCTTTTAGATCTTCTAATATTTTTAACTACCTCATTTGTAACTAATGAGACATCAAGGATTTGTCTACCTCTCAGCAAGGCACTTTGGTTTAGTGATATAGTATTGCCCATCATCTCACTGAGTCTTGTGGAAAGGACCTTCGTGATGATTTTGCAAACACTAGTCACTAAACTTATAGCGCGGTAGTCAGAAACTTTAATAGACATATTCTTTATGGGGATTAATATGGTAAAAGTGGGATTCATACTCTTGCATATTGAACCATTCATTGGAAATTCCTTGAACACCTTCATCATATCCAACTTTGTGATCTCCCAACAATCTTTAAAGATTTCTATAGTGAAACCAGCGATTCTCAAGGGATTTCTCGCCCCCTAACTCCCAAATGGCTTGCCTAATCTCATCTTCTTGATGATCTCTTTAAAAATATTGTCTTCTCCATCTGGATGGAACACCAATAAGTTTCTTCTAGAAATGGTCTGTGGTTCTTTTGTATATAGTTTCCTAAAGAAATTCGTAATCTCTTAGTCTATGGGTTCTCGTATGTTTTCCATCACTCTGTTTTCTAATTCAATATCCTAAATAACACTTTTTCTCCTTGGACCATTCACAACCCTATTAAATACTTGGGTGTCCGAGTCCCCTTCTTTCACCCATCTAATCTTTGCCTTTTCCTTCTAACACCTCCCTTCCTTCATCAATACCTCTTCAAGTTTATTTTTCAATATCATAAGGTGTTCTTTTTGTGTATCAGATGATCAAGTTTCTGATTCAAGCCTTTCCGATTCCCTCATTACTTCCAAGATTTTGTGTTGCCTTATTCTCACATTCCCCAACCCCTCTTCTTTAATTTCTCTTTTAGGTGCTTTAGTTTTTTTCATAAATTTGTAACCTTTCTAGAAAAACTTATTTAGTCTGATAATATTATATCTATTGTATTTTGTGAAGGTACTAGATAATGCACTAAACATCATCTTTATCCTATTTTATAGTTTATACTATTTGATAAATGTTCATCGTCGCATAAAAATTTCTTTGCAAGTTTGAATACTGAGTTTATTCTTAACACAATATATGAGACATTGTCTTGTAAAAAATGAAAAAATACAATGAATATAGAAATACAAGCACATGAAAAAAAATCAAACATGTGAAATGGTGGATTTACCTAAAGGAAAGAAAAATGTGGGATGTAAATAAGTATTTGCAAGCAAATACAAGGTAAATGAGAGAATCAAGAAATGTAAAACAAGATTAGTGGCGAAGGATTATACACAGCTTTATAGGATAGACTATTAGAAGACATTCTTACAAGAAGTTAAGATTAACACTGTGAATTTTGTTGTCATTAGCTGCTCTTGCTTCGATTGGTAATTACAACAATATGATGTGAAAAATGTCTTCCTATATGGAAACTTAGAAGAAGAAATTTACATGGGTATTTCACCGAATTTTGAAAAGAAGCAGAACCTAATAAGGTGTGTAAATTGAAGAAGACATTGCGTGGACGCAAGTAATTGCCAAGAGTATGGTTTGATAGGTTCGTAAAGGTGATAATAAATTTGGGATTTAAGCAACCTTAAGGAGATCGTACTTGGTTTATTAAATACTTAGAGATAAAGGGAATTACAGCTCTCTTATTATACGTTAATGACATTTTTGTAATAAAAGATTATCATAAATAAAAACTGATCCTAAGACAATGTCTAACAAGAGAATTTGAAATTAAGAAACTAGCTAAGTTGAAGTATTTTCTTGTAATTGAAGTCGTCCGCTTAAAATCCAGGATCTTTATTTTTCAATAAAAATATATTCATGATTTGTTAAGAGATACTGACAAATAGCATATAAACCAGCTGGTACTCATATTAATCATAATCATAAATTAGGAATAAGAGAAGAAGATACACCAATAGACAAGAACATGAACCCCAGATTAATCAGGAGATTGATATAGTTATTCTGCATGAAACTAGATATTTCTTATGCAATAAGTTTTATAAGCTAGTTTATGCATAACTCAAAAAAAGTACACTTATGAGCAACATACAGAGTACTGTATTACCTAAAAAAAAGTCACATTGAAAAGTAATCACATTCAGAAAAAGCAATAGATTGTGTTTAGAGGCCTATATAGATACAAATTATGTATGGTTAATTGTAAACCAAAGATCTATAACAGGATACTTTATCTTCTTTAGAGGAAATTTAATTATCTGGAGAAGTAAGAAGCAAAATGTAGTTTACTAGATCAAGTGCAAAATCAAAGTTACAGATAATGACATAAATGATATGTGAACTATTATGGATAAGATGAATTTTAGAAAATCTAAGAAGTAAATGAAAAAGTCTCATGCACCTATATTGTAGCAATAAGTATACCATAAGCCTTGCATACAATTCGGTGCAACATAATAAGACAGCATATTAAGATCGGTAGACATTTTGTTAAGAAAAACTTGATAGAGCCTAATATGTACTCCAAACATGCCTTACCAATTCTCAAATGGTAGATGTGTTGATTAGAAACATAAGTAATTCAACATTCCAAACTTTTATTGGAAAGTTGAGGATGAAAAACATTTATTCTCTAGGTTGGGAAGTGCTAAAGAAAGTGTAAATTACATTAAAATGTACAAGGGTGAAATACACCCTATATAATTAACTGTAGTTCATTGTTTATTCCTTCTCTATTTTAGAAAACTTCCATATTTAGAGTTGTGATGTTTAATAAAGTACACATTAACCTTTTTTAAAAATAACACAACACAAATGTCTGTAATTTTAAGAAAAGCACAATACAAATGTCTGAAAATAGTGCATGATTCATATTTCAGAATCACCTTTCAAGAAAACATAGCAAAGGTTAGATTATGACCATTATACTGGTGAATGTAATATCAGGTTTTTAATATTGAAAAATTGCCCTGATGTCTCTGTGAAGCGGGCAAAATTTCTTAATTGTGTTAAAAATCCATGTTCTTTTTCTCTCCCTTTTACCTTGTTCTATATATGGCTTGGTGTTTCTGCCACATGATTTGAAAAAGAATTTTGGTTCTTTTTGCTTATTCATCATAAGTATGTAAACATAACATGCTATCCTCTGGATATGGTGCCAGAAAGTGTGAATGGATCAGACATTGTATTGGAAGCAGTTCTAGAGGCAGAAGTAGCACAAAAAGCCAAAGATTTCTTTTCACAGCCCGAAAATCAAATACAATGAATATACAGGTTATGCTCTTTATTCTTTTCCGTGCAGCATGGTCTTTGTTCCTGATTTGTGAACAGAAATTGGAAAAGTTCAACTTCCTTACACTAAGTTGTATAGGGATTGGGAATTCTGACAATCTCACTTTGTGCTGCTAATTTTTGGCACCTGTGGGAAATTATCCTAGATAAGAAACATAGGTCTTTATTGCAAGTTTAGAGACCATGTGCTTGCATGTGAATGTTGGACTTGGAAAAAGAATCATATTTTACGTTGTTAATGAAATGGAAGTCCTGATTAGGTTTTGCCTTCCCTACAATTTATCTTTGCCCTCAGGTTTTGGTGAAGGGGGTCAATCTCGGCATTCGTTCAGTCAGACGAACCATTTCGTGCCTTAAGCTGCGAGCAGGTGGTAATTTGTTTTATCGCCTTTTACTTTTTCTATCATCAAATAGATACTCACTTTGGATAATGGATATTATCATCTTTCTTAAAGGTAAAACACTCACATATTTGCTTCTTTCATTTTATTTTCACACTGAAGATGTATTTTTGTATAAATTATTTTCTTCAGTATGCATTTGACAATGTGATGAATCATTTGGAGGTCTCATCAAAATTTGTCCTCTTAAGATCACAAATATCTGTCACGATCTTCCTATTCCCCCATGGGTTTATAATTAGTACCGCCCTTGGTTGGCTGAATTGTAATGTATTGGAATTGTGAGTCCAAATGGGAAGAAATTAATGTAACCTTTTAGAATCTCGTTCTTAAAACTTTTCTTTTGGGTTGATGATATCCCAATTTTTTAAGATAAAATACCTAATGATAATATTCTTTTAGTGGTAAATAAGGAGATGGTTGATCGATTAGTTATTTTATATAAAAATAATATTCCTAGTATTTTATGCCATAAGTAAGATTTTTTAGAGAAATCTGTATTCGTTTTGGGCTATTCTAATTATATCTGTTGTGAATTTTTATAAATTAGTATGTCAAGAAAAGAATTTTATGTCTATAAGAATATATATGTTTAATTAATTTTAAAAGAACTTGACCCAAATATAACAAAAGATGGATGTAAAGGTTATTATCCTATAGTGTTCTTTCTCTCTTTCTCTAGCGTTTCATCTTCTTTCTTTTCCTTCTTAAAAATCATGGTGTCTTCATATTACCAGACTCAGAATCCGTATCATGATCAATCATCAGCATTTTCTGTCTCCTAAATCTGACCACCATTGTTAGAGTTCCCTTCCTCTCCTCTTTAAAATCATCATTTCCATAATGGAAAGCTGGAGAGAGTTTGAAGAGAGAAGTTTGATGAAATGGAGAGGAAAGAACATATATTTGATCTTATGAAGGAACATATATTTTGGTATAATAGAACCCTTTTCTTTTTTAGTTGTTGAGATGGGCTGAGTTTTCTTCGGCCGAATAGTTAATTTGGTAAAAATTTAAAATTTAAGGTTATAAATTCTTCTACTTAGAAATACGAAGTGCATATCGAAACAAAAAGTTGTAAGGATCTTTTGTATGATGCATTGATGCTACCCCTTAAGTTTATTACATTTCTACTCTACTTTTAAGTTTATTATATGCTATTAAACTAAATATAATAGTGAGATTATAACAAGTTATTTTCAGTAGGAGCAATATAAATGTAATGATAAATTTTATTATAACTATAATTTTTATTAGTTTATCAATGAACTAAACAAAATTTATTTCTGATTAAGTTTTTTTGCAAATTACACTTGCATTCTGTTTGATTTGAATTAATTCTATTCTTATTCTATTTGGAAATTTAGTTGTTTGATATATAGAGATAATTTTAATGTACTAGGATATTTAATTCAATAATCATAAATTTAATTTTCTTGTATTTACATAAACTAGTTACAAAAACATTTAATTTGATGTAGACATAGAATTAATTCGGAATCAACTAATACTATTTTAAAAAAAAAAATCATATTCTCATTTTTATTCCCTGAATTAGAATTTAAATCTAATCTAATATTAAACTTGTTTAGAACCAATTGATGATAAAGCTCACATATGGAAATAAAATTGTCAAACTCAATTAATTGATTAAGTTGTTGTAAGAGAAAATTAGATCCAAGACGGTATGATGAAGTTAATGATTGTTAAATAAGAATAAATTTATTGAAATAGAATAGTAGTATATCGGAAATTGATAACAAGTAACTAAATGTCATCCAACAGTCATATCATAAGTTAGGTATTTCATTTATATAACATTTAATAGATCTTCGTTGCCATAAATAAAACAACTCTTTAGCTCCTCCTATAATGCTTATTGTCATCCGACAAGATGTCATCTTTCATATCAATCAATTTTTTTTATTTAGAAATGACGAGTTTTAACTAAAAGATTACTATATGTCAATATATCTCTTTAATAAAATGTTATAATCTAGCACTTAAAGATTGGATTAGTAGCCTCAATTGGTTTCTAGAGGTGGATAGTAATTACTAGCTTTCTCAATAAGGTTAATCTTTATACTTTTTAGTCGAGCATACGTGGTAAACTACTTAATTCTAATACTTATCAATAAAAAATAAAAATGAAAAGCTAAAATAATAGAAAAATTATATTAATAGATGAATATTTCATGGGTGACAATCACAAAATGTAATTACTAGCATAAACTAAGAAAACAAAGAGATATGATCTCGTAGATGGTTTCTAAAAT